GGGGTGTTACACTCTATTTCTTTTTCTTTTTTTTCTCTTAAAACTCTCTCATTCACATATCGGATAATATCTAAACCTCCATATGAATTAATGTGGTTACTTATTGTCATCAAATTAGGTGTATTAACACTAATAGGACCTTATTGCATCCTTTTCCAAAAAAAAAAAAAAAAGTTACCCAACTTATTTCTAATCTAAAGTTATTTTCTAAAATAATTATTTATATTTTCTAAAAAATCTATTTTTGAATTTATTACTAAATCGAGTTGATATGAATTTGGAATTAATTTGAGAAATTAATTCTTCATGTTTATTTATGTGGATATTTTTGACATATTAATTAATTGTTGTTTATTATGAAATCATATTAAATTTGTCACTAGGCCTTGAAATCAAGGGTTGTGTCAATTTGATATTGGATCCTGGTACTATTGTCAACAATAGTACCTCCCAACCTTTACTCTCATTCCAAAACATCCTAAAATCATCACTTAAATTTCTTATTTTTCACATTGATTCATTGCTGATTGCCTTTTTTTGTTTGTTTCTTTATATATATATTTTGTTATTGGCTTTGATTGTCTTCGTTTGTGGTTGTAACTTTATTGGTAAGTCATATACGCTTTGATATTCTTCGTGAGTTTTTTCGCTCGATTGATTTTAAGGTTTTTGGCGTTTTATTTTTATTTTTTTGGAGTTGCAAGAATTAAAGTGTAATGCATGGGTTTTCTATTGTTGTGGCTTTAGGTGTGTTCTTGATTTTTCTTTATAATTTTCTTTCTTCTTTTTAACATGTTATGTTGCTATATCTTCGATATGTTGAAGTTTACTTTTCTTTGTGATTGAATTGAAATTACTAGCTATGTTGTTTTTTTCTTTCATAAATAACAATATATTAAGACTTAAATTTTTTTAATTTGTTATACACACACACACACACATATGTGTGTGTGTGTGTGTTTTTGATAGGTTCAATGATTATGCTCATTTGGAGAAAATACATTTTGTGCCTTATTTATCTCCTCATTGTATGATGGTTTTGTTTTGTTTTGTTTTTTTGTTTTTTGTTTTTTTTAAGGGCTTTAGGATATTAACAGATGATGGAAGACAATAAAATTGATCCCTTTTCTCTCTCCATATCTTCTGAATTTTTTTACATGTTTTATCCTTTCTAAAATTAAGGTGATTGTAGTGATAATTAAGAATGGATATTGAAATAAATATTTAACTTGAATTTTTTTTCATAGTTATGTAAGGGGTATATGTAGCATATGGTAAACAATTTATCAATTCATGTATAATGCAATTGTCAAATTTAGTTTCTATTCAAACAATCTAAAAAATTCTTTCTTTCATTTTGTTCTATGTTATCACCTACTTACATTCGTGCTCACGTATATTTTAAATTTGCATGTTTTGTATCAAATAAATGAATGCATTAAATTTACATTTGTGTTAATGTATGCTGCAATCGGAGGATCATCACTAGTGGGATCATGGAATTTATTGGTTATCTATGTATCACTTTTAATAAAACTTTCATCTTTGTCTGTATTATATATTGAACAAACATGCATTGACAAGAAAAATATATAAATATAACTATTGAAAAAACATTTTCTTCATTTGCTTATTGTAAGGATCTCCACATGCAAAAATATATGCAAGTAAATAATCATCAAATACATTGGTTTTATTATATTACTACATAAAATTAATACTTCACCGCTTCCAACACTGACTAGCGAAGACTTAGTTTGCCACCGTTTATGACACTACTCCTTTCATAGTGTAGTGTGGATAGGCAGCTAGTAGCAACTAAAGCAAAACAAAAAAATTACCTACAATCTATTTCATTAAATTCAATATCACAACAAATATATTCAATAAATTCAATTTAGAAAAGATGCTAAAACAATAACAAGTTCTATTAGTGGCTACGTTAAGTATAAAAATTAAATACAATTTCTACACACACATACATTATGAATTCTTGAATTTGATATTTTTTATTAACATGAAGATGGTAAAATTTAGGTGACAATGTGAATGTATAATCACGCCAAAGCTATTTCAAAAAAAAAAAAAAAAAGATTTTGACATATTTAACTTCTTATGGAATATCCAATACAGTTATATAGATATTACTTCTCAATGGAGCATATAATATCTCGAACAAATTAGAATAAAAGAAAAAAGGAAAGAAAAATTAGAGGAGCTCATATATTACTATAATCAAGAACTTCATGAGTTTCTTTTCTTATAAAATATATTGATAAGTTTGTTTATATCAATATGCCTCGCTTCGAAATAAATGAAGAAATTGAAATTAATATAACTGAAATTATAGAATCCAGCTCAAAAGTTTTAAGAATTAGAGAATGCATTTCAAATCAATCTACAATTTATGTGCCTTGTAAAGATACCTAAGATGTATAGTGAGAGCATAAAGTGAAGAAAGGAAGAAGAGATATTGGTTAGTCCTTCCCTAGCATCAAGCCCCACTTGTTTGCTTTATAATCTTAGATTAGTCCACAACATATACGTTCTTTTTCTCGATTGATTCCCTAATCTATATTCCCAACCAATTGAGTCCCTAATGTATACAGGAATCCTAAATTATATCCTTCTATCAACAAATATGCCAAACCCTTCTGTCAATTGGGTCCTCAGCCTATTGACAGTGGTAGGAACATTTGTTGACATAAGGATCCAATTAACGACAATTTCTGTATACAATAGAGACCCAATTGATTAGAAATATTGTTTAGGAACCTAATTGAAAATTAGTCATAGACTAAATGATGGGCGGTGACCGACCCCTCTCCCCCTTTCATTACAAAGCGGAAGTCAGCCCTCTCCCTTGCCAACCTTATACAACTACTAGTCATTCTCGGACCATCTCCTCTTTTCGCTCTCTTTTCTATTATTAGTAGGATTTTTTGACCCAAAAAAATATCCAAACAACAGATACACACGTTCTAGATAAAATACATAAAGATTATGATTACAGAAAGAATAACAACCCATTCTACCTGTGAAAAATTAAAAATTGATTTAACTCATAAAGGTCCTTCGACTTTTCTTTGCTTTTTTTTTCCTTGTCAATTACTGATGCACTATTCTTTATTAATGCATTTGCATATCAGAAGAATATAAGAGATTCTGACATCAACACCAAAACCAGTAAATTCTACCCGGAGCAAACAGATTAATAAAAAAAATTATCATAAAATACATTAATTCTTTTCTTTTGAAAAAAATATAACGCTGCTTGTCAATAAATATCACCTTAACTTAATTGATTATTATTTTTAACTTATTATATTGTAGTAACTGTTTTTTGATTTTATAGATTTGACAGAGTCATAAAGGCGCATTAATCTTTTCTTTTTTCTTTTTTAGAGATTTTACTGTTCTTTTATTTACTTTTAATTGAACTCCTTCTCAAAAGCAATCATCACTTGTAGAATTCTATTTCAATCCTAAGGTTTTCTTCTCGCACTTTTTTTCGCCTAAGACAATTGGATTATGAGAGCTATTTACCATTTCAAGTGGGACAAGAGACAACCGATCTTTACTAGTTTTTTCAATCTAAATACAAACGAGGAATTTTATTGAAATTACGTTTGCAAATGTATATAACCTCTAAAAAGGAAAAATGACGCCTGCAATAAAAAGGAAATAACTTTAATAACAACCGCTAAAAAAAACACAAAATTGGACAATAAAATGTGTATGTAATAAGAAAAAAAACCCAGATTTGAAATAGTAATAAGAGAATTAATCTCTTTCTTCTAACAAAATCCACATTGGTAATAAATCTCTTCCTCTCAAATCTCTTTAGAAATTTGATCAGATATTTTAATTACATTATAAGGGATATGATTTGTATTTTAGTAGTATAATTAAAATAGAAAAATGCAAAAAACAAGAAAGAGTTCATGTGTTCTTGTGGGGTGGCTTTTGTTGCCGTTAGTGATAAGCACGCCTGGCAACTCATCATTCCCTCCAACTCACTTCTTTCTCTCTCTCTCTCTTAACTTTTCTCTCCTTCTCCCTCTCATTTGCTATTCTTTCTCTTCTTCTCTTTAGTCCCCACCTTTCTCTCTCTCACTCACTTTTTTTTAGCCCGTCCAGCTTTTTTCTTCGCTGTACAATTAAGAAAAACGGAAAGAAATTTCTAATCCTCCCTTAATTTTTGTGATTAGATTGGATCTGGGTTTGGTTCTTTATTGGATTATCAGCTTCAAAGACCAGGTATTTTCATTTCAAGATTGTGAATTCCGCATTTTTTTGTTAGAATCTGGGTTTTTTTTATCCTTTTTGAATTATCATCTCTTTTTCTAAATCGAATAAAGTAAACCAAAATTTTGACTGTTTGGTTCTTGTATGGATGTTTGACATGCGGGGTTTTCTCGTTGTTATTGAAAGTAGCGATATTTTATGGTTGAGAGTTTGGTTTCTTTGTTTTGGGTGCTCTGGGCTTGATATGGTGTTTTAGCTTGGTCCTTTTATTGATCTGGGTTACGTTAGCTTATGTAGGCAATGGTGGGCTACTTGATCGAGCCAAAATTGCATCTTTTGATGTGTGTTTTAGTAAAATATTGTTTGTTTTTTGAATTTCGATATTTGGGATATTTTAGATTGTTATATTTTCAATGTAGGTTTGGTTAGTACATCATTTTCTAATATTTTTGTATTATTATTAGTATTCTTGTTAATTCTTCTCTTCTAGGAGTAGTTTTGTTTTTATCATTGATTGGCGTGCCAAAAGTTTTCTGGCTGTGACTCAATGTTTTGATGCAAATATTATCCGGGGTTCATTGATTTCAATAACGGCATTGTCTTGGTTTTTGAGAGACAGTTTTATTCTATTATTTTGTCGGGATATTTTGTCATTGATTGGTCTGTTGCCTATCTTAATACCACCATGTGAGTATACGAAAACATGTTACCATTTGATGCACGGTTTTAATTAGATAACCAGAAAAGGTTTAATGGGTTTGGCTAAAGTAGATGGGAGGTAGAACCAGTTGACATAACTTTAAGCGTGAGGCTAATTTCAGATTTCAGAATCCATATTTTTTAGTTGGATTAGTTGATATTCCGAGTGGCACTGGCATGTTGCATATGATTATCTTAAACATAGGTCTAGAATTTATAGCATTGATCTTCCAGTTGGTTGCACCATCTATCCTGCTGAGGATGAAGTTCTTTGGTACTTTCTGGGGGCTAAGAACTTGAGCAAAAACCTAATGATCCTAGTATTATGAGGTGACTATAATGATCCTAGTATTATGAGGTGGCTAAGGATGCTTGATTGTGATCCTGCAGTTTCCTCTATAGATGTGATGGTAGGAACTTAGTTACTCATTATGTATCAGAAATGAGAAAACATGTTGAATTGCTGAAATCTTTGATAGATACTCAATCTGCAAAAGGTAAGAGTGAGTACCTATGTATCTGGAATTTCATAGTTTTAGTTTCTCAAAATTCTTTGTCTGGAATCCTGGAATAGGATACAACATGCAATGTCGAAATGAATTTGAGACTGCAAAATTTTGTTGAAACATCTGATTCAGAAACAGATTTAAACAGATGCATAATCTGTAGAAAGTTCTTATGGTAAACTTTGAATTTAACTATGAAGCATTACAATGTAAATGGGGATGCACTCAATTCCAGAATTGTTTTAGATGACTTTCTGTGGGAAATTTATACTTCCTGAGCTTCTGCCAAAGAGGCACATCCTTAAAGGCATATGTTTCCACTGTGTAAGAGGTTTCTGCAAAATGTTATTAAACAGTTTCCTGTCAGTGCCTTTTTCCTGAGACAATTTTTTCTGCATCGATGCTCAGTTGTGGAGATGAGATATGTTTAAGGATTCATGTTGAGCAGCTGATTGATCTGGAAATGATTCAGATCTGTCATACTTTACTCAGCAAAATTAAGGCACGCAAGCATGTTCAGATTTATCATGGAACCTTTACCTATTTTGCATGATTTTGATTCAATTAGGCATAGAGTTTCAATTATTTTTTACTTCTATTTTAACTGCAGAATTATTTTGTTTATGTTGTACCAAGAATTTTCTGAGTGCCATCTTCTCTCCATTCTATAGAGTATACAGTTGTTGCCTGAAATTATTTCATTATTTATGCGATTTCAAGTATTTTATATATTTGGAAATGCCATTATCTAATGAAAATGATGCCAGTTCATTTCAGGGAAATCCTTTCTCTATATTCAGCTTGAAATTGTGGCAATCCAAATAATTGAAGAGCAGAAACATTATGGCTGTTTCCATGAGAGATTTAGACTCAGCATTTCAGGGAGCTGGACAAAAGGCGTATCCTTTGTTTGATAAACTATGAAGCATATTTGAGTTATCTTTATTCACTTATGAATTTCTTTTTTCATGAGTTGCTCGTTCCAGAAGTTCTGATTTCCTGTAAATGTGGCATATATTTTAGTTGCATAGTAACTCAAGGGGTGTGAATTATTACAACCTCTTCTGTTAATCTTAGATGGATACAGTTTCCAATTGATCTATTTCTTCACAGACATGTCCTTGACAATATGTAGTGGACTTGAAATTTGGCGGATTGAAAACTTTCGTCCTGTTCCTGTGCCAAAGTCCTCTCATGGAAAATTTTTCATGGGGGACTCCTACGTAATTTTGCAGGTTGGTGTTTTGTTTTCTATCCCTTTTTGCTTCTTGTATGTGTGTGCTCAACGATTGGTTCCAAAAGGGGAAGGGTTCATGTGATCATATTATTGGGTAAATTGTTTCTCATATGATTCTGGATGTTTGGAGCTCTGTCCACTAGCTTTAATAGTGAGAAAGAAAACCAATCAAGTAGAAGTTGTGGGTAGGTTCTCTAAGCCGGTTTATCCATGAGCATTGATGTCCTTTTTAATGTGTCTGTACTAATGAGTAAGTTGACTAAGTGAATGGGGAAGAAAGAGCAAAAGTAGATGACAAATGATGCATTAAGAAGTAATTTTGAGTGAGCATAAAATAGAATATAGCCTTTGATTGACAGAGAAATGTAGAAAAAACAAGGATTAGTTGATTAAGGTCTTGTTAAGTATTAATGGGAAGAAGGCTTTTATGAAAGAGACTGTTTCTCCAACATTTCTTTCTCAGGAGATGAAGCAAAAGACATTGGCAAGTGGTTTTGCTTCTCATTTGAGTCTTTGCTGTTTGATCTCTATCATTCACTTATTTCATTTATCAATGGGGTACTGTTTTGTTGAGTGAGTGATTTAGCTGTTTCTTATACTTGAGAAAGGTGAAGCTAATTCTTCAATTTTCTGTAATATATCAGAGTGAAACTTTTCATTAATTTGTATAATTAGTGCAATGTTTGTTTTCTCTTTGCAGACAACTGCACTAAAAAGTGGTTCCTTGCGTCATGATATTCATTATTGGCTAGGTAAAGATACCTCTCAGGTGAGTCACTGTTTTTCATATTCTAGATGCTTTTCATCATCAGAATTGTGTCTATGCTTTTGGTCTTGTGACCACTCCTTTAAAATAGGACGAAGCAGGTGTTGCTGCCATCAAAACAGTTGAACTAGATGCTGCTCTTGGAGGCCGTGCTGTACAGTACCGTGAAGTACAGGGCCATGAAACAGAGAAGTTCTTATCTTATTTTAAACCATGTATTATACCACAAGAAGGTGGAGTTGTGTCTGGGTTCAAGCATGCTGAGGCTGAAGAACATCAGACGCGCTTGTATGTTTGCAGAGGAAAACATGTTGTCCATGTGAACGAGGCAAGTCTGTGAAGTTAGATTTGTATTTCGGAGAAGATTTATCATTATTATCAATCACTATGTCTCTATATTAAGCTTCTAACTTTTTGTGATGGTGATAGGTTCCTTTTGCTCGATCCTCACTCAACCATGATGATATTTTTATTCTTGACACAAAGTCAAAAATTTTTCAATTTAATGGTTCCAACTCATCCATTCAAGAGAGAGCTAAAGCTTTAGAAGTGGTTCAGTACATCAAAGATACTTGTCATGATGGAAAATGTGAGGTAGCTGCTGTTGGTAAGTGGAGAGTTAGACTGGAGACTCCAAATATGATAGTTTAACGGCTATTGCCTTTTGAGTCTAATTACTTGTCCTTTTCACATAGAGGATGGAAAATTGATGGCCGATGCTGAAACTGGCGAGTTCTGGGGTTTCTTCGGTGGATTTGCACCACTTCCAAGGAAAACAGCAAGTGATGAGGATAAGACTGATGCTTCTTTTCCTACTAAGTTGTTTGGGTAATGTCCTGTCTCAAATTTCTTTCCCTAATGACATGTCTTTGTATGCCAAAATCTTTTCTCTACTCTAAAAATTGCTATCATTCAGTAGAAGTAGATGCATCCATATGCATCATTTCCTTGAATTGTAGTTTTCTCATTTTCCATCTTCTCTCAAGTGTTTCTAAGGGTTTCCGTAAAGATAACATAATGGCTAGCATGAATTACATATCTTTTCAGCAAAAAATTTACCAAAAACTGTAAAATTAGATACTTCAACCTTTTCGTTGGTCTCTTGCATTAAGGATAAGATTCACTGAGTTACTGAATTATTGAATCCAACAAAAATATTTGTAGTTTTAATAGGCAATGACTTTTTTCTGATTGACATATGTGTTGCCTTTTTCAAATCTCGAAAAGGGAGAAGAACCTGTTGGGGTTAATTATTTGGATATAACGAATGAAAATTACACAGCAATCAATACCTATGATTTGATTTTCTGCATTTAAGATTGATTTTCATGGGAGATATGATGGATGAACTATCATGTACAATGAAGATGCAGTTCTGACAAAAATATGTTTTCCATGGAAGTGTTGAGAAGGGGCAGGCAGAACCTGTTGAATCTGATCCTTTGACAAGGGAGTTGCTAGACACCAATAAGTGTTATATTCTAGATTCTGGAGTGGAAGTTTTTGTGTGGATGGGGAGAAATACTTCTCTTGATGATAGGAAAAGTGCAAGTGGAGCAGCAGAAGTAATTATTCATCCCATCTTCTTCAATATGGAGATTATAGAATGTCTGCAATGATATAAGTTTTGTATTTTCTTTGCTTATTAATGATCCAACTGATCAGGAGTTAGTCCGTGCTGCTGAACGACCAAAATCCCGCATTGTTCGTGTAATTGAGGGGTTTGAGACAGTGATGTTTAGATCAAAATTTGAAACATGGCCCCAGACAGCTAACGTGACCGTGTCTGAGGATGGTAGAGGCAAAGTTGCAGGTCAGCAATTGATTTATCTCATAGATTTTGTTCTTGTATTTTGTTTTAATTTCTGAAGCAACCATGATCATCCTTGGTGTTGAAGTATCATTCATTCTTATATCCATCTTCCAATGCTCATGGATCTCCTTTTCAATGATTCTGCAGCACTTCTAAGACGCCAGGGGGTTAATGTCAAGGGTCTGTTAAAAACTGCTCCTGTGAAAGAAGAACCTCAGCCCTACATTGATGTTACTGGAAATTTGCAGGTGTTGTGTGTACTAGTTTTGTCAATCTACTAGGTTTGGAGTTTGGATTTTAGGACTGGCAGGAGGCCCATTTTTTATTCCCAACCCCCACCCTGAATTCACATCTCTATCATTTTACTATTTAAAAGAAAGAAAATCTCATTCTGAGTTGAACAATAGTTGGATCTCACGTACTGCTTCTCTGGGATCCCTTACCTGCATGCCTTCAGAAGCAGTAGGGTAAAAGATATATAGGATGCATGAAAGAATAGTTGTCCAAAATTAATTTTGGAATGTGTAATTGAAGTAGCAAAATTAGAGGATGTACTTTTGGAATAGGCAACTCAATTTAAACAAGAAATGGGTGAAAAAAATAATTTTAAAAGATGTGTTTCATTTGAATATCATGAATTATTAGTGCTCAATTTTTTCTTGTATTAAAAAAAAAAAAAAAAAAAAAGGTTCCAAGTATTTCTGAAGTGCTTTGTAGGCATTTTAGGTATGTATGTTTGAATGCAGTTCTTTTCCAAAATCAAATTTATTCTCTCCTGTCATCTAACCATACTTCGTAATAGACAGACACATCATATCCACAGAAAATGCTTTCCGATCAGATTCTAATTATAGCTCCACTGTGATTGCACAGGTTTGGAGTGTGAATGGGCAGGAAAAGACTCTCATTTCTGCAGCAGATCAGTCAAAATTTTACAGTGGTGGTTGCTATATTTTTCAGTATTCATATCCAGGAGAAGACAGGGAAGAATATCTTATTGGAACATGGTTTGGGAAGAAGAGTGTTGAGGTGAATTTCAAGCATCCTATACTAACTTGTCCCACCCACCCACCACCAGTCCTCCCACAATGCCGCCACCGCCCCTCTCATTTTGAGTGTGTGGTGGCTGCTATTAATACCTTTGGAACATGTCACAAAATAGGAGTGGGGCATTCTAGGGTCCCCCATGGAAGGCTGTCATGGCTTTGTTTGCTTTGTTTCTATTTCACACATTAAGCTTTGGGATCTCTTGCTTATCAGGGAAAGCGATAGTGTTAAAGCATAAAATATACCTTGTTCATCAGTGGTATTGTTTTAGCCAGACAGTTAAACAATGCCCTTTCTGAACTTTTAATACAAATAAAATCACTGCATTAATGTGTTTAATTAATCGTGGTATTACACTGTAGAGACAAACATCTGGTAATTGGTAACATTCATGTGCATCTTTGCTTGAAGGCTTTTCTTTTGTTGTCCTCTTAGCATCCATCAGCTCAAGAGTTTTCTTTTCTCCTTTGCTACTTGTGCACTTTATGTTTTTGCAAAAGCTCTCATTTTAGTGGTATAGACACTGTTAAAATCTGTTTATCATCACATGTCAAATCATTGGCCGTGCGCATCTTCTAAGCTAAATTTGAGGTGGAAATAACTTTATCGATGTTGGTTCAGAAAAATTAGATGATTATTATTTATTTTACTTATTTATTTTTAAATCTGAATAATGGGTGAGTACGTATGTACATATTTTTATCCTGCGTATAGAATTCTGCTGGAATCAGGATGGGTGCTCAGTGCAGGCTGCAATTCATTAGTTAAGCACAAAACCCAGATTTTCATATACTTTGGCACTATGAATTAGAGGCCTTGTCTTGCTTTCTCTGCCCGTTCTAGAAGTCTTGTAATGTTACCTCTTCTATCTGCTCATATGTGGTACCTATTAGTTTACCCTCTTATAAATTTATTTCTCATTGAAATGTAGGAAGAAAGAGCTTCTGCTATTTCACTGGCAAGCAAGATGGTTGAATCATTAAAGTTTCTGCCTGCCCAGGTGGTATTCTTTTGCCAGTAATTATTGCTGTTTTTGTAATGAGGAGATTGCTGTACCCATTTTGTATCTTTTCTGATTCTATTTTGTTATTAATTCTTAGGCTCGCATCTATGAAGGAAAAGAACCAATTCAGTTCTTTTCAATCTTCCAGAGCTTTATTGTATTCAAGGTTTGTGAGAGTTCTGATGCATCCAATGAAACTTCAATCAAGAATATATAGTGCCAATAATTTAGTTTTAATATTTTTTTCCAACTTTCCACCAAATCAGCTAATTGTAAAGTTTATCAGGGTGGTCATAGCTCTGGATACAAGAACTATATTGCAGAGAATGGACTCCCAGATGAGACATACAAGGAGGATGGTGTTGCATTATTCAGGGTCCAGGGTTCTGGACCTGATAATATGCAAGCTATACAAGTTGAACCAGTATGTCATGCCCTTATCATTCTAGCTACAGCTTATTGTTCAGTGTGATATTGAATTTTAATATCTTTAATCTACACTATTTTTACCCTGCCTTTTGATTGCCTTTTTCCATCCCTATCCAATTCGATCTAACAGGATACAGATATCCATAATCTTCTGTTTGTTGCTTTTGAGTTGTTGTGTAAGTGGACTGGAATTTGCTAATACATTTCCTGAATTGAATTGCATTTCCAGGCTGAGTTGCATAAGTCTTCTCTTTAGGAAAAGAGAGAAAAAAGGAAGTGATGGAGGAAAAAAATAAGGAAGAAGGTTGAAATTAAAATGACTTACCAAAATTACAGTAAAATTCTTTGCCAAATTTAATCCAATTTTAATCAGATTACTGGTTGCATTATCATGTCTTGCACATGTTAAAGCGTAAGCAGTTTATAAACAAGCATTTAGAATTCTTAAACAGGTCCTAGTAATTTGGTATTAACATATATGCTTCCCCCAAATGCTTCTTGATCTTATTCCTTCTTTTTTTCTCCCTTTTTGTTATACTTCTTGATATTATTCCAGTGGTGTGAGGTGAAATTTGGAATTTGCTCATGAGCGACATCTTGGTTATGAATGTAACTTATGAGAACTACGTAGTTCTCAGTTTCCTTATAGTTGTGTATATAAGATGATGTAATTCTTAAACAGGTCCTAGTAATTTGGTATTAACATATATGCTTCCCCCAAATGCTTCTTGATCTTATTCCTTCTTTTTTTCTCCCTTTTTGTTATACTTCTTGATATTATTCCAGTGGTGTGAGGTGAAATTTGGAATTTGTTCATGAGCGACATCTTGGTTATGAATGTAACTTATGAGAAATACGTAGTTCTCAGTTTCCTTATAGTTGTGTATATAAGATGATGTTTACATCTTTTCATTGAAATCCGATCAGGTTGCATCATCACTGAATTCCTCCTACTGTTACATATTACATAATGACTCCTCTGTTTTTACGTGGTCTGGAAACCTTACTACCTCAGAGGACCAGGAACTTATTGAAAGGCAGCTGGATTTGATAAAGGTTTGATATTTCTTCTTAATCAGTTCTTTTGAGTAATTTGATAAAGCATATATGGATTTCTTTTCATTGTTTAGCTAATTATCCAGAACGGATGATACAATTACATGGAGATAAATCATCTTTATTGTCAAATGAGCTGATCAACTCAAGAATTAATTTTATATTAAATTAGATTCTTGAATTTCTTTGGTTTTTTTTTAAAAAATACATAAATAAAAATAAAAATTGTATGTTGTATGCATATAGAAGCTCATTTTAGTTCTCATTTTATTTTGGTGTAATCTAGGCTCTTTAATAGTCAGCTCTTGTTTGCCTGTGAAATTTCTACAGCCAAATATGCAGTTGAAGCCCCAAAAGGAAGGTTCGGAATCTGAACAATTTTGGGATTTGTTGGGAGGAAAATCTGAGTATGCCAGCCAAAAACTTGCAAGGGAAGCTGAAAGTGATCCACACCTATTCTCTTGCATATTCTCAAGAGGTAGGGAAAGTAACCTTTTTGGTTTTTAGATTCTTTTTGTCTTTTACTTGTTTTTTGATCTCATGGAAACTGTAGAAGTCTAATTCGTTTCCTTTTTATCATGGTTTTGTTACTCCAAAAATGCACGCTTATCTGCAGGAAACCTGAAGGTATATTTACTTTTCTAGTCAAATCATTTCCAGTTCCATACAACTCTAGCTGTTATCCGAAGTTCTACTTGTTTTAAAGCTGTGTCATTTTTAAAATTCTCATTCTTTTTATGCATTCATGTATTATGGATCTGGAAGGGTAGTCATTGTTCAAATGTTTTTGAATGAGTACATAGTCACATGACTTTTATGTACTTAAGTTTGGTGTTGTGGCTATTATAACAAGTTCTTGTTATTGCAGGTGTCTGAGATATACAATTTCACACAGGATGATTTAATGACTGAAGATATTTTTATCTTGGATTCTCATTCTGAGATCTTTGTCTGGGTGGGGCAACAGGTTGATTCCAAGAGCAAACTGCAAGCCTTAACTATTGGAGAGGTACCATTGACAAGGGTTTTGTTAAATGCGATAATTATGCATTAGTTTCATGATTGAAGCTTGCATTTGAATTACTGCACTTTTTTCAAGTTTTTCGTCTGATGGCCATTTTTGGCTTCTACTCAACCAGTTTTATCATTTATAGCTCTAAACCATAATTAAATGTGACTTTGCTTGACCCTTGGTTAGATTATTTTGACAACTAGTTTACGATGATTTACTGCTCATATCAGCTCTGTTTTAATTTTGTTTTTGTTCTCTCTTTCAACAGAAATTTCTTGAGCAAGATTTTCTGTTAGAGAGGTTATCTGGTGAATCTCCAATATATATTGTTATGGAAGGGAGTGAGCCACCTTTCTTCACACGTTTCTTCTCATGGGATTCTGCAAAATCTTTAGTGAGTTAAATTACACTTGTTGTTGAGCAATCAGCAAATATCTTAGATTTCTGGATGAGATCTTAATGCTTTCATTTGGATGCTGCAGATGCATGGAAACTCATTCCAAAGGAAACTTGCTATTGTAAAAAATGGGGGTACTCCAGTTCTAGATGTAAGATATTTGCAGATGTGCTATATTATTTACCAAGTATCTATTAGTTGCATATTTGCTTCATGCATCGTTAATCTATATAAGTAGTTCTTTTGTTTCTTTGCATCTCTGATCTCTCCATGCATCTCATTTCTTTAATCTCAAACATGGATCTCTTGTTGATTAAAGCATTGGTATGTAGGTAATATAGATTCTTACACTGATTGATTTGGAAACTTACTCTATGATTTTAATTATAAAATAAAACATTGATGAGAAAATGCCCTTCCCTGCTCGCAACCATACAATAAAGTTATGGTTCAAAATCCACAGATGAAGGCAGGTATGAAATAGAAAAACTGCTTCATGTTTGCCACCAGACAGGATGCCAGTGCAATTGCTCTATTTGGATTTATGTTAGCTTTAGATTGATGCAATTTCACATGATAGCTCCATTGGTTACTGGTTGTCAGAAATCCATGTTAGCACTTACCATCCACCTCCAACAAAAATAAACAACCAGTGAATTAGAAAAGGATAGCTGCTAATTTTTTTTTTGAAGAGAACATAAACTCTACCTTCTAAGCTGATCAAGTTTGCAATATCTTGTGATTCTTTGTTGAATCTGATAGTCCATTGACATGTTTGCTGATTTTACTTCTCATATTCTGTTGCCACCATTCAATTTAGAATTGGTTTTTGATTACTTATGCTATGCATTTTTAGAAACCCAAACGTAGAACACCTGTATCATATGGAGGCAGATCTAGTGTACCTGAAAAGTCACAGCGTTCCAGAAGCATGTCTTTCAGCCCTGATAGAGTTCGTGTGAGGGGAAGGTCTCCAGCTTTCAATGCGCTAGCTGCTAACTTTGAGAACCCTAGTACCCGAAACCTTTCAACTCCACCACCAGTTGTTAGAAAGGTATATCCGAAGTCTGTGAGCCCTGATTCAGCAAAACTGGATTCCAAATCTGCAGCTATAGCAGCACTTACTGCAAGTTTTGAACAACCGCCACCAGCACGACAAGTTATTATGCCTCGGTCTGTCAAAGGTATGCACCTTTGAGCACCTTGGAAGCTATTTACTGCTGTATCCCAAATCCATATAGGTGCATAAATTTGATATAACTACTTGCCATGTCCTAAGTGAGCCCTGAGGCACCAAAGTCGACACCTGAATCAGACTCTAAGGTGAACTCTATGAGCAGCAGAATAGAATCCCTCACCATTCAAGAGGATGTGAAAGAGGATGAAGCTGAAGATGAGGAAGGTCTCCCAATTTATCCATTTGAACGCCTTAAAGTTAACTCGCCAGATCCTGCTACTGAAATTGATGTGACCAAGCGAGAGGTAAAATATGAACAGTTAACGATACTTCTTCTTAAGGATTCATTGTTTACTTTGTTCTGAGATATTTCTGTTCGATTGCATGCAGACTTACCTGTCAGCAGCAGAGTTTAGGGAGAAATTTGGGATGGCAAAGGATGCCTTCTACAAGTTACCCAAATGGAAACAAAACAAGCTTAAAATGGCCCTTCAGTTGTTCTGAGTCTCCCTCATACCTCAGCTTTTCCTTGGGCCCCCCTGCTGTTGAGGTTGCAGGTGGAAAAAGGTTTCTTGTGAATCTGTAAAAATTCTTCCTCTGCAAAAGTTAAATTTTTGGCATCTTCAATTATTTCTCTTCTTGAATATTCTAAATGCCAAATTTTTTGTTTCTTGCCGCAGTGGATGAACTTGGTTTCTCAGAATCTAAAAGGGACAGCATCAGTGCATTTTTAGCTGCTTCTGCTCCCTGGAAGCTTGTTTTGTCGACTGACTAAACCAAATCAGAGATTTTTCCAGTTTCTTTCTCCGTATGGTGGTTTGAATGTCTCTAGCTTTATATTTATTTTTTCCCTTCTTTTTTGGGTTGAGTTAGTTCTTTGGTATTCTTTTATGGTCACAGGTTGATTGAGAGCTTGCATTTTTGTTTTTCATTTTCGGATTACATCAAATTGTTTTCAGTAGATTAGGGGCTTGAGAATGAAGAAGATTTAGGTGTATTGTACAACTGAGGGTGTAAGTGTGTACAGCAGCGTTTAACCAGTCTACTCATCATTTGTTTTCAATAAAAGTGTGTTTTTGTTTTTTTTTTTTTTCCTCTCGATGAGCTTTTTTTCTTCCATATCTTGATGATGATCTCTTCAATATCTTGTGATTCATCATTGAATGTAACTAATGCAGTATCTTTTGATTCCCCATTTGTAAATTAATGCTATATCTTTAACGGTATATTGCACGAATTCACGACGTAATGTCAAATAAAAAATTATCTTCAACTAGTATTTCCCCATGAAAATTACTTGTAAAATAATGTAACTGATTCCAGAATTGATTTTTGTGATCTAAAAGCTTGAAGAATTCCGTATGGTTTAAAATCTAAGACTAGTTATCATTGTAAAACTCATATCCCTAGAATACCCACCAAAAAGGTCTGTCCTATGCAAGCGGCCTCCCTGCCAGAACTCCAGAAGTCGCTGTTTTTCATGGTCTGCTTAAAATTCAACCAATCTCTGGCTAAACACAACCACAAAGGAGATGGGGAAAAGGAAATGGATGGATGGAAATAGAAAGGCACAGTTGCAAAATTATTCAATGAATGGAATGCGAGAGTGGAGAGTGAAGGAAATCGAAAAAAAGAAAAAATTATGGGGGTCGTAAACGTTGTGGGTAAGGAGAAATTCTTCGCTGTTCTAGTTATCCCCACATGTCTGAGAGAGTGGAATAAGGGGATCAATCTAACAGCATTTGTTGGGTCCTAAAAAACAGGTTTGCTTACCCAGTCTTTATGTTTTAGAAGATGATCCGATGGTAATATGGTAAAATTGTAAAGTATTGTTTATCTTCTGTTTCATATATATATATATATATATATATATATATATATATATATATATATATACCATGTAGAGAAATTGATTTCTAATTCAAATGGTTTTAATTCAAAAACGAGAATTGATCCAATTACATCATGTAAAACTAAGTTAAGGAGGCATGCTTCTTTAATTTTCTGTACTCAAATTTTAGCAGCCATAATTTAAGAGAATTTTTTATTATTATTATTATTATTATTATACAATGGGCTAATGTCTTTTTAAAATCTTATAGGAAGAAAACTTAAATTTGATTGATGTGCAAGTTGACTCGATGATACCCTTTATCATCGAATAAAAATAAATAAATTAATAATTATAGAGGTCCGATTACTTTTGCTTTCGTGCTGATATTATTAAAATATCATCTCACCTAAAAGCTTAAGTTGATAGATGAAGCCCTAAAATATAATTTATACTAATCTCTAACATACTCCCTCAAGTGAAAGGTCCAATATTTGGGGCATGAAACTTACACGAGTCTATATTGCCTTGTGTTTAATACTTGAGAAATTGGGGATGGTGAGACTTGAACTCAGGCACCTCAAGATCAACCAAACTCGATACCATATTAAAAGACCATCTCATCTAAAAGCTTAAGCCGATAGGTGAGGCCACTAGAATATAATTTATACTAGTCTCTAACGAGATCTTGTCCCTTTATTTATTTATTTATTTTATTTTATTGTTTTAAATTCATTCTTTTAGGTTTGATTTTTGTCTTAATTAAGTTTATTCCTCTGTTAACTTTTGAGCTAACAATGTAAAATTACACCATTAGTCACACATGATTGTAAAATGTGTTAATTTCTTTTTATCTTGTCCCTCTATTCTTTTTTTTATTTTTAGTGAAAATAAAAAAATTGAAAAAAAGGTGAAGATAATTTTTTATTAAAATTATTTTTTATGAGTTTAAAGTTATCTCCATGATATTAAACAAATTTTGAATATAACATAAAATATTTATATTTTTTTAATGTCAAAAGAGTTTTTTTTTTTTTTCACTCAAAAGTAGTTAAGAAAACTATAAATACCATTTAAAAATTTAACTAAAACTCTCTTGACATTTTTTAAAAAAACATACTATAAATATTTTATTTTATACTCAATTAGCTTACTATTCTAGAGATAAATTTAAACCTACAAAAAATATTTTAAATAAAAAAAATCCTTGTCTTTACTTTTCTTTTATTTTTTTTATTTTTTTCACTAAAAGAGAGAGTAGAGGAATGAGATTAAGATGGAAAAAAAAAAAGGGTTAACACCTTGCAATCTTGTGAATCTAATGGTATGATTTAATGCCTTAGGTCAAAATGTTTAAGAAGGGATGAACTTAAGATAAAAACCAAATGTAGAGAGACAAACTTAAGACAATAATAATAATAATAAATAAATAAATAAAAGTAAAAGGATGCGATAAAAAAAAAAAAAAAAAAAAAAAAGCTCTGCAACCGTTAACCCATGTAAAAATGGGTCAAAATTTTTAGCGAGTAATGCTATTTTTCTTGAGCGATTGAGTTCGAAAGCACTCAAAACTACCGTGGAGATGCTCTCTTAAAGTCAAATCACAAGAGGAGAGAATTGAGTTTTTGTTGACAACCAAACTGGTCTGAATATATCTTTTATTATCAAATAAAAAATAAAATGTTTTTTTTTAAAGAGTAGTATTATATAACCAAAAAAAATTACTAACACTATTAGCATTTAATATAATCATTTTATACATCAATTATATCGCTTACCACAAAGTTCTTTTGTTTAAAATTTTGCTAGCAGTTTTTTTTCCATGAATTCGTATTCTTGTGTGAGTTTTCTAACTAATTTCAAGTATAGAATTGTCCATATTTATTATAAAACTAAAACAGATGAGAAAAAATATTAATGTTTTAAACTGTTGATTTAGACTTATCTTTACGGTGGACGCAAACGGTGCATCTTTCCTTTCCTTCTGCTTTTCTTTACTTTTGTTGAACAACCGTACAAAACAATTGTTTTATACTTTTTTCGTTTCAGCCGTTGGATCGAAATTTTACACTATTCATTTGAACAGTAACGGAAGCTAAGGTCTTTATTTTTTGGCTACTGTAGCTTAGTTTTTTTTTTCCCATTTATTGCTCATTTGAACAGTATCTGTGCCTTTTTTTTAAATAATTGCAATTAGAATTAATTATTTTTTCCCCATTTACTGTTCATTTGAACAGTACCCACGCCTTATGTTTTTTTTTTTTTTCAATAACTACAGCTTAAATTTTAAAGTAACCAACAATTAATTGGGTGCTAAAAGAAATTAACAATTTATGTCCTTTATTATTTATTTCTAAAGTTTAAAATATTGGTCCATTTAATATTAAAAAAAAGTACATATCTTATACTAAAAAATTGAGTACTAAAATAGGATACTTTTGCATTATTAAAAGAAGAAGAAGAAGATATATCAGTACATTTAATATTTATAGTGGTGCATTTTAGTAAATAAATTATTTTTAATATATATTTTTTATTTTTTTTAATTTTCATGTTATTTCATTTTCTTCCTTAAAATTTTAAAATAAAAATTTTAATCTCCTAACTAATGCATTACACATGCCTTTTTTTTCTTTGATTTTTTCTTTTACTTTTTTCCATCAATTTATGTTCTTTTTTTTATTTAATTGGGTGTTAAAATTTTAAAAAATCAATCATAACGTTTTTTCACATAAACTGATGATTATATAATATATCTTTTTATATTTTAAAATTAACATAAACTTTAGCTTATATTACTCCGATTATTTAAATTTCATTCTTTGAATTTATCATTTTTTAATGAAAACTCTCATCCAATTAATATTTTTTGTATGAAATTTCATTTACTAATATTATATAATTTATTTTTCTCTGTGTTTGAATTTTAAAATAATTTTTTTTCTTTTTTAAAAAATAAATTAGTATAATATATATCATGAATTCTTAGAATTTTTAAATGATAGTTTCATTTATATATAAATATATAATTATTTTATTCTAAAAGGTTAAAATTATATTTTAAATAATATTTCTCAGTTTACTAAGTATGGTCAAGATGTATAAAAAAATTATTGAATTATTAATTTTATTAAAAATTAACTATACATTTTTTAACATAATACAAATTATTTACAATAAATATTTTTTAACATTATATAACCAATTTATTTGAAATCAAATAATTAAAGTAATTTTTTAAAGGAACCAACCAATTATTCAAATACTATTTTTTTATGCTAATTTTATTGATTATTTTGTAAGTAAATATATAGATATCAAATGCATATACTTGAAAAAAAAAAAAAAAAACCTCTCACCAACATTAAATAAGAATAAATTTTTTTTTCATTAGTTAATTTTTATGCAAGTCTATACATTAATTGTAACTTTATTTTTTACATGCATTCTTATAAAAAAAGATAATTTTAAACTATTTGTTTTTGAATTCTTAATTAATATTTCAAGTTTGAATTATGACAAGTTTTTATTTAAGAATCCCTGAATAAAGAACAATAAATTATGTTTTTTTAAGTAGAAGTTTTATAAAAAAAACACACAAAAAAAGAAGATAATAATTAAATAAAAAAATTAATAAAAATTATAATATTTTGAAATGATTTTGTTCTATTTG